ACCTTGGACAAGCTGGTCCTGAGGGGTTCCCCAATGACCCCTTCATGGGGATCCCCCCTTTTCCCACAGGATACAGTGGCTGGATGAGCCTCAGCGAGGTGGACCCTGATGAGGAGGTGCAGGGGGAGATCCACCTGCGGGTGGAGGTCCTGGGCAGCCAGGGCAGCCGGCGGCTGCGCTGCTCCGTGCTGGAGGCCAGGTGAGAGGGGGCACGAGGGTGACAGGGGCTGCGTGTGCAGCTGGGACATGGGTGCCGAGTCCGAGCTGCTCCATGACTCAGTTTCCCTGCTGTATCCGGTCCTTTGGGTGCAGAGCACCCTCCTCATCACCCAGCAGGTGCTGGGGCAGGGTCTACCTCATCTGCAGGTCTTTGAGACATAGATCTTGAGATACCCTGATAGGGGAGGGGGTGCCACAGGTGCCTGTAGGTATTTTGGGAGGTTGCTGGTAAATTCCCCTTCTTCTTGGCAGGGATTTGGCCAGGAAGGACCGGAATGGTGCCTCCGACCCCTTTGTCCGCCTGCGCTACAACGGGAAGACACAGGAGAGCACCGTGAGTGCGGCTTCAGCCATCCCCAGCCTGCCAGGGGTGCACGGGGAATCAACCCACGGGGAAGCCCGGAGCCACCCCTGTCCCCCAGCATCCCCAGCCTGGTGTCCCTGAGGGACAGACCCACCCAGCAAGAGAGGACAAAGCTGTTGCCTTTGCAGGTGGTCAAGAAATCCTGTTACCCTCGCTGGAATGAGACCTTTGAGTTCGAGCTGGCCGAGCCTGCTGGGGAGAAGCTCTGCGTGGAGGTGTGGGACTGGGACCTGGTGGGCAGGAACGACTTCCTGGGCAAGGTGAGCCCCAAACCCTTTCAGTGCTGCCGGGGTCCTGCCCAGCTGCACACCCAGCCCTCTCCTGCCTTCCCCTCCCAGGTGGTGTTCAGCATCCAGGGGCTGGAGGCGGCCGGGCAGGAGGAGGGCTGGTTCAGGCTGTGGCCAGACAAGTCTAAGCCAACAGAGGATGAGTGAGTTTTGGCACAGGGTGTTGGAGTGTGCTGGGCATGGTCCCAGTTCCCTCAGGGGCATTAGAGAGGGGAGTTTTCCTGGGAAGCATCATCACTTTGGAGAGATAGCCTGGGGTGTCAGGCCACCTCTTGGTGAAGTATCCATCCATCCATCCATCCATCCACCCATCATCCATCCATCCATCCATCCACCCATCATCCATCCATCCATCCATCCATCCATCCACCCATCATCCATCCATCCATCCACCCATCATCCATCCATCATCCATTCATCCATCCATCCATCCATCCATCCACCTACCCTCCTCGTGCTCCTGCAGGCGTCGTGGCAGCCTGGGCTCGCTGCAGCTGCAGGTGAAGCTTCGGGATGAGACGGTGCTTCCCTCCCACTGCTACCAGCCCCTGGTGCAGCTCCTGTGCCAGGAGGTGAAGTCGGGGCGCCAGGTGAGGGGTCCGTGCCCAGCCCTGCTGGAGCACCCACATCTCCCAGCTCTGTGCCGTGGTGCCTGCCTGCCTCGGGCTGTCATGTTGTGGTGCCTCTTCCCTCCAGGATGGCCAAGTGCACCTGGTCACCCTCCTGGACGAAACCACCACGGCCGAGTGCCGGCAGGAGGTCGCCATCAACTTGGTCAAACTGTTCCTGGGCCAGGGGCTGGTCAAGGAGTTCCTGGACCTGCTCTTTGAGCTGGAGCTGGCCAAGCCCTGTAAGGCTGGAATGGGGAGTGGACCTGGAGGCTTCCTAATCATCTCCTGGGGCTGCAAAACCTCCAGAGCCTTTTGTGGGGATTTTTCGGGAGTGATGGTTGAGGCTCAGCCATCACACTGTAGAATCTGTTGGGCTCATCCCAGCAGTCCATGGGCTGAGGTTGGTGGTGGAGCAGTGGTCTGAGGTTAGGAGGTCCCCATGACACCCATGGAACTGGCCAGGAGGCAGGGCACAGCCTCTGGGAATGACCCCCATGACTGCAGCTGCCCAGGGATGACCTGTGGCCTTCCCCAGGCCATGGACCCTCTCCTGCTTTGCAGGTGAGCCCAACACTCTGTTCCGGAGCAACTCTCTGGCCTCGAAGTCGATGGAGTCCTTCCTCAAGGTGCCACACCACCCAAAACCTGCTCTTCCCAGGTCATCCTGGCCCTGGGCTGCTCCCAGGGGAAGAACTGGGAGGCTGCTGTGCTTGTGCCTTCCCCTGGGGGTGGGAGGCTGGAGAAAATCCACTGGGTGACCCTGAGGGTGTCAGGTGCCAAATCTGCGGCCCATCCCTGTCCCCTGTGGTCCCTCGGCAGGTGACAGGGATGCCATACCTGCACTTTGTCCTGGGCCCCACCATCGCCCGCGTGTTCGAGGAGAAGAAATACGTGGAGCTGGACCCCGGCAAGGTGGAGATCAAAGACGTCGGGTAAGGGGCTCGTGGGGTGGCGGGGCAGGGGTGGCCCCAGCGCTGGGGGTGACAGTGACGGTGCCCGCAGGTGCTCGGGGCTGCACCGGGTGCAGACGGAGGGCGAGGTGATCGAGCAGGGCCGGCAGCACCTCCAGTCCTACCTGGGCGAGCTCCTGGACGCCATCGTCAGGTCGGCCCCGGCGTGTCCCCCCCTGATCCGCGCCGCGTTCCGCCAGCTCTTCCAGCGCGTCGGGGAGCGCTTCCCGCAGCACCAGGTCGGGATGGTGCGGGGACAAACAGGGACATCCCCAGGGGACAGCGCTCTCTAGGAGTGGTCCCCAGCTGTGGTCATTCCCTCTTGGGCAAGCAGCAGCCCCGGCCACCGGCGCATCGCTGTTTGTGGGGCTGTCCCACGCTGGGAGAGACCCTCACGTGTGTTCCCCACCCCCTCGGTGGTCACAGCACGCCAAATTTGTGGCTGTCACCAGCTTCCTGTGCCTGCGCTTCTTCTCGCCGGCCGTGATGACCCCCAAGCTGTTCCAGCTGCGGGCCACACACGCGGACGCGCGGACCAGCCGCACGCTGCTGCTGCTGGCCAAGGTGCGACAGGGGACCCCGCGCCGGGCTTTGGGGTGCCCGGCCGGTGCTTGCTGGGGCCAGCCGGGTCTCCCGGGGGTGACGCTGCCACTGCCGCGGTCCCCAGGCCATCCAGCTGGTCGGGAACATGGAGCCGGCGGCCGGGCGCGCCAAGGAGACGTGGCTGTCGCCGCTGCTGCCCGCCCTGCAGCAGGGCACCGCCCGCATGAGGGACTTCATCACCCGCCTGGTGGGCACGGAGGAGGAGCAGGGCGAGCAGGAGGGTGAGGGGCGGCCGCTGGGGCCCTCCCCGGCCGTGGTGAAGGAGGGGATGCTCCTTGTGCACAAAACACGGGGCAAGGGGCCGCTGCTCGCTGCTGCCGCCGGCAAGAAACTCCATTTCTGCCTCACCGGGGAGTCGCTGAGCTTCGGCAAGAGCCCCGGTGCGGAGGTACGGGCGTGCTGGGGGGGCGGGGGGCGGCAGCGGGGTGGCGCTGACCCCTGTGTGTGTGTGTGACCTCCATCAGCGCCTCGGTGCCATCGCCCTGGGCGACATCCTGGCTGCCGAGAAGGTGGAGGAGAAGAGCTTCGGCAGCTCCCACGTCATGCAGGTGGTTTACCTGGCCTCGGGCGGGCAGCAGGAGACGGCGTACCTGCAGTGCAAGGTGCGGCGGGGACATCCCGCGCGGTGGCACAGCCCGGGCGGTGGCACAGGGTCCCTCTGACTGTCCCCAACCCCGCAGTGTGTCAACGAGCTGAACCAGTGGCTGTCAGCCCTGCGCAAGGTGTGCGGCAACAACCCCCGAGTGCTCCGCTCCTACCACCCCGGCGTCTTCCGCGGGGACAAGTGGAGCTGCTGCCACCAGCGCGACAGGACAGGTACAGGCAGGTGGCCCCGGGGGGTCGCTGGGGTGTCCCCAGGTACGGTGACCCTGCTGTCCCGCAGGGTTGGGATGCGACCGGACGCGGCACGGCGCCACCCTGCAGGACTGGAGCGACCCGCTGGAGCCCACGGTGGAGGCTCAGCGCCTCTTCCAGCACCTGCAGGGCCTCCGGGGGACCCTGAGGTGAGCCCCTGCCCCGGGACCCCCGCCCCGCCCCGCAGCCCCTTCCCCTCCTGCCGAGGCCCGGCCCTGTCCTGCCGCTCTCCGCAGGGACAAGTACTGGGAGCTGCTGGAGCCGGAGCGCGCCCAGAGCGGGCCCCGCGGTGAAGGTGGGTTCGGTGCGGGGTTCCGGGGGTGTCCCCAGGGGTCACAGGGGCTGTGGTGGTGACCCCGGGGGAGCTGTGGGGTGTCACCGTGGCTGCCTGTCCCGCAGACGCTGCCCTGCCCGAGGGGCTGAGCCGGCTGCTGGCGGCGCTGGCGGAGCTGGAGCGCTGCCACCGGCGGGCGCAGCCCCCTCAGGCCGCGGCCCCGGCCCTGCTGCGGCTGCAGACGTGAGGGACCCGCTCCTCCCGCCGCGGCAGCGCGGCTGGCAATAAAGGCACTTTGTACCCACCGTGCGGCCTGTCCGTGTGTCTGCTGGGCATGGGGACGGGCTGGGGACTGCCCAGAGCCCTGCTGCTGGCACTGCTGACACTCACTCTGGGGACATCTGCGGGCCTGCTGGGGCCATTTCTGCTGGGGCCATTTCTGCTGGCATCGCTGGTGGCCTGGTGAAAGCACTGGTGGGGTTCTCTTGGTGGTGCCACTGCTTGGTGGCCCTGCTGTGCCATTTCTGATGGCCCTGCTGCGGCTGCTGCTGGTTCTGTTGGTGCCAGCACTGGTGGCTCTGCTGGTGGCCAGTTGTTGGCAGTGGTGGCAGCCCTGGACTCTCTGCCCATGGCCCGGCTGGTGCCGGCTGAGCACCGCGGTGGTGTCTCCGGCGGGGACTGATGGTGTCAGTGGTGTGTGTTCTCCTCCCGCCCCGGCGATGGCCGCAGCGGTGGCTCTGAGGCGGGAGCTGTCGAGTCTGTGCCGCCGTCCCCAGCCCCGCTGTCCCCGCTGTCGCTGGCGCCATGGCCTGCAGCGGGTCCTCCCGCCCGCTTGGGGACGCTGTGAGGCCACGAGGAGCATCGAGAGGGCGGAAGTGACGTAGCGGAAGCGAAGCGGCGGCCGCCATAGCAACGGCGGGATGAACGCGCCTCCGGCCTTCGAGTCCTTCCTGCTCTTCGAGGGCGAGAAAAAGTGAGGGGGTATCCGGGGGCGGCTAATTAAACACGGGGGGCGACTCATTAAACCCTAATGAGAGCGCGGGGAGCTGGGAGGCGGGAGCCCGGGCCTTTCCCCGCAGTGCCCTGAGTCGCTAACACCCCGGTATCCCTGAAACCCCAGGATCACCATCAACAAGGACACCAAGGTGCCCAACGCCTGCCTGTTCACCATCAACAAGGAGGACCACACGCTCGGGAACATCATCAAGTCGTAAGTCCAGGCGGGGAGGAAACCCCGGGGCCGGTTTGGGTTCCTGTCACTGCCTGGGCTTTCGTTCCCTTCCAGGCAGCTGCTCAAAGACCCGCAGGTGCTGTTCGCAGGGTACAAGGTCCCACACCCTCTGGAACATAAAATCATCATCCGTGTGCAGACCACGCCCGACTACAGCCCCCAGGAAGCTTTCACCAATGCCATCACAGACCTGATCAGCGAGCTCTCCCTCCTGGAGGAGAGGTTCAGGGTAAGGGCATTGTTCTCCTTAAACTCTTTGTTGTAGTGTTGGTGTGTGCCTCGAAGCTGCTGGGTTTTGGTTTATGAATTCAGTCAAGCCACCCTCCTTGTGTCGTTCAGCTGCTGTCACAGCCTGGCTGCTCTTAAGTGCATTTTTATTTTCTCTGGGTCTGTATTTTCCCTTCTGCTCAGTTTATTTATGGATTTAGCCCCTGAATGCTGAGGTTTCATCTAACTCAGACAAAACCAGGGAGGCTGTGACTGAGAAGTGACCTCTGATGTGCTGGGGAAAGGCACCAGGGCACCAATTTGTAAATAAGTTTTGATTTCAATTCCAGTATTCTTTTTCTGGTTGCTGTAGAGATTTCCACTGTGGGTTGTTGTGATTCTCAGAAGAGTCAGGAATCATTAAACACCAACCTCCAGCTCAGTAACAACTCCTGTCTTAGCACGTGTGTTTTTGCTTTTGCTTTCCAGGTTGCTATTAAGGACAAACAAGAAGGAATTGAGTAAAATGGAGCAGACTGCTACTTCTGAGGCAGAATGCTGTGTCTGTTACTGGATGAAATATTTAAACCTCCATTCATGGAAAATATTTTCCCCCTTGTCCCACTTCTGTTTAATTTTTGACAGCAATATTTTGAATTTTGGTTTGGTTTTTTTTTTCATAGCAGACAGGCACTTGGCCAAGAGGAAAAATGTCACATTGGATTTGGTGGATAAGTCATTAAAGTGAATTTTAGTTTTCTAATCGGAGCCTTAATGCAAATATTTGTCCTGGGCTGTTGGGGAGGGTGTTGTGGGTAGGATTCCAGCAGGAGAAGCTGCTCAGTGACAGCTGTAGGTGAACTCCCTGCTTCTCCTGCCAAAAAGTCCAGGCACTGCCAGCTGAACTGGTACTTTGTTTTATTAAGTGTCATTTCTATAAAACAAATGCACAAATTGTGAAAACTTACAGTAAAAGAAACCGGATGTTTACAATGAACTGATGAGTTTAACAAACTCTTACCTTGTTTGTTTTATTTTTTCTCCATCTGGCACATAAAGCTGCTCTAGAAAACGTTCATGGGCACATGGGGAACAGTCACTAATACTGCACGAGGTGAAAGCACGGGGGTGGAGCTGTGGCACAGGGGACTAGGATTTCTTCCAGATGGCTGTTATGTTGACACTGGTCAGCACAACAAGGTAGGTGAAGGCAGGGTCTGCCACCACGTTGTTCACCAGGATTTCGGGGGGCTGCTCCCCGTTCACCCGCAGCTCCGGCCACTTGAGGACCTGTGGGAGAGCAGAGGGGGTGGGGACGTGGCTCAGGGGACATGGGGCACTGGGCATCCTCAGGCAGAGCCTCTTCCTTCTCCTGAGGGCTGGTGGAGCTGTGGGATATTCCTAAAGGAGCAGGGTTTAGGGCACAAGTGAAAACAGCTGCAGCCCCAGAGGAACTGACTGGTGGCTTGGCAATGCACTTCCAAAAAACCTGAGCCATCACAGAATCACAGAAAACATCTCCCAGAGCATCGAGTCCCACCTGGGACTGAGCAGCACCTTGTCACCCAGAGCACAGCTCAGACTGCCACCTCAGGGATGGGGACTCCCTTCCCATACCTGAATAACCCTGTCAGGGAAGACATAATGGAACACTGGCTCACTTCATACCTCTGCAATGTAGCTCCAGACCAGTGGGTGAGAGCCTTTGGAGTGTCTGTGATTGTCCTTTCAGAGGGACAGGCAGGGGAACAGTGACTGCCCAAAAGAGAACTGTCTCCAGAGGGGAATACTGGGCAGAAAAAGGGTGAGTGAGCATAGGGAAGCAGCGAGCCCTTTCCTGCCAGGGAATGCTCACTCTGGCTTCCCTCTCCTCCCTGGGGGATGTGATGCCTGCACAGCTGTGCCTTGCTGCTCCTCAGTTTAACCAGAGCTTTTTTAGGGCTGTTTTAGGAAGAGCTGCAGGGGGTGACAGATTTGCTCTGCAGCTCCTCATTCCTGTCCCCAGTGAATGGCCTTGGCCACGCTCTGGAGATTGCTTTAATTGTTTGTGAGGGTCAGCTGTGGAAATACAAGGCATGTCCTGGGACAGGCCTGCTCAGGAGACTGGGATCTGCTGCCCTGGGGTGGAAGGGAGGCCCAGAGAGCAGCTCAGCCCTACCTGTGTGGGAGAGATCCTCCGCTCCGAGCGCTTTCCCTTCGGAGAGCCCCAGGCCGTGGTGTAGTTGGAGAGGTTGTACATCCACACACTGCCCTTCTCATCCCCACAGAACACGTAGTCTTTTGCTGTGGGAGCAGAAGAAAAAGCTGGGAAACGAGTGTGGAGCTGGAAATCTGCTCTGCTGTAAAGGAGAGCTGCAGGATCCCAATGGAGGGTGCCATATTTCAGCAAAATTCCCTTACTGGCACAAAAACATGAATCTACCTTGCTCTGAAAGAATTCATTTGAAGACAAACCAGCTCTGAATTCATTCGAAGATAAACCAGCTCTCTTTAGTGTAGAAAAGCTAGTGCTAAATGCTTTGGGATTTCTCTTGAAATCTCTTTTTTTAGACTGGTTTTGGGAAGTGCTGACTGGATCAAGTTGGTTTGTCAGTCTCCAAACCCAGCTGCCCCGTGTGTGACATCCCTGCCCACAGATGCACTCAGCATCCCTGTGGCTCCACAGGGCTCAGCCCTGAGCTCTGTGCTCTGAAAATCTGTGCAAGAACGACCCCCCAGCCTCGACTGTCCCCCCTTATCAGGCAGAAGGTGCAGCTGTAGTTATTTATTACTGGTGTTGTCTCCACCCAGCTGGTGCTGGAGCTGCACTGCAGAGCTGCAGGGCCTCTGCCTCCAGCTCCAGGCTGCTCCCATGGATCAAAGGAGAGCCATGGACAACTGGGCAAAGCATTAGCCAGGAAATGAGTGCTCCTACCTGGGCAGGTGCTGAGTGTCAGGTAGGACATGTCTGTTGTGGACCACTCCAGCTCAGCCAGAATAACTGCAGACATTGTACGCTGGCATCCTTTGCCCTTGGCATCAAAAGACTTGCTCCAGCTCCACAAGTATATGCATCCTGGTTTGGAGCTCTTGGAAACTAGGGAAGAAAGGAAGGGAGAGGCTGTGGCAGCTGCTGGGAAGCAAAGTGCAGTGAGACAGAGGTGGTCCATCCAGAATATAGATTTCAAGCCATGGGATCTGATCCAGCAGCAACTGTTTGCACCTGATTTACCTTATTTCAGGATAATTGGAGGTTGCAGAGATTTTCAGTGCTATGCTTATGTTCCTGAGCTGCAGAACAAGCATAAGCTGTTCAGAAAGAGCCAGCCCATGATGTGAAACCCACAGTTCCCCTAAAAAAATACTGTTGCCACCACCCTTGAGCAGAAAGAGTCTCCCCTCTCCCCTCTTTCCACACTGGCACTGCTTGGCCATGTGTGCTCTCAGGGATGTGTCCAGCTGACTTCTGGTCCTGTCCAAGCATGGGTGTGCACTCTAGGCCACATTTTTGGGAAAGACAAGTGACTCTGGGAGACAACTCCACCCTGTGCAGCCCCCCAAAAGCTAAAGAGGCTGTCACATGCCTTTCAACACCTCTGCTTGTCATGCTGGCTTCACCCTGCACATGCTAAAGTGCCCCACTGTTTTTGGGATTGTGCTGTTATGTTTATACTCACCAACGACATCATCATTGAGAAAAGCCAAACCATCAACCCTGTGAGATGTTGTCATGCTTTCCTCACCAGGAAACTGGAATATGGCTTCAAAAGGCCTAGAGCAGGGGGGAAGGGTGAAATCAGCCAAGTCCTGAACAGCCAGCAGTGAAAGGGCACCTGGCTGCAGAGCCCAGAAGGAAATTGTTTGTTAGTGAATTTCTTGCCAAGCTCAGGTGAATTCCCCCTTGAATTTACACTTTTGGTCACTGGGGTTTACTAGTACAGCAGAAGGCTGTTTGCTCAAGAGATTGCTGCACTCCATCAGCATTAGGATATTTGTCAGCAGGGCATGACTTTACTTGCTTCTTCCTTGTAATTTTGTCCTGAGCTCTCACAGGGTCCCAGTTTCCTGGAGCAGGGGAGGCCTCACTGTGAGACTGGAAATCGTTCCAAAAGTTTACACTCCGTTGCACTACCTGGAGATGACACACCCTTAAGTTTTGGGGTATTGGATTACACTCCTGCCAGCCTTCCTGCAAAGCAGCCTGCAGCACCTGCAGCTTTAATACAATCTCTGAACAGTCCTTGAGCATCATGCTCCTATTTTTTTTCTGGCTACTCTGGGAAGGGGAGGATATTTTAAGTTTGGTAGGACATGCTGCTTTTGCTCAGACCTCCTCAGTTAAAAATCAAGGACTGCTAGGACTATTACTTCTTGTTCTGGAAAGCAAATGCAGCTTGTGTTTCTCACCTGCTTTTTTGTCCCTTATCCAGTTTTATGTTCCAGGCAAAACAGCCATTTTCACAGCCTGCCAGCAGGTACTGCTCTGGGCAAGTGGGGACCAGGGCAATCCGTAGGGGGATAGAGGCCGTTTCCAGCACCAGCAGCTGGCTAAAAAAAAGCAGAGAACAAGCAGTTAAGTGGTGCTGTGATGTGATAGTTACAGGCTCTTGGACTGGCCACATCTGGTTTTTGAACCTTTACCTTGCTTTGAAATTGTAGTCGCAGTCTGGAATCCCAATATCCCAGAGTGCAATTCGCTTGTCATAGGATGCAGCTGTGGGACACAGAAGAGAAGCAGGTAGTGACACCGCTGCTCATCTGGCTCTTCTCGTGCTAGCTGGCACTTCTGCCTGAGTCACAGTCACCCTCTAAGGCTCCAGAGAGCTCATTAAAGAACAGCAGCAGTCCCTGAGGCTCCTGGCCCAGCACTTCCCAGACATTGTCAGACATGCACAGTCAATACTCAGTGTTCTTATCCTGTGCTCTAAGAGGGGCAGATAAAACAGTTTGTGTCCTGGTGTCCATTACTGACTTGTGGCTTCACAAGGTCTTTAGTTAGTGGCCCTCTGAGCTTGTTTCTGGTCAGGGCTTTTAGTGGAATCTAAAACATGAGCTCCAACCTCTACTCTCAGGCAGACATCACGTTATTGCACATATCCATGGCTTACTGTGTTCACATCCACAGCAGCTTCCACTGGGAAAATTAGGCACTGACAAAGGGTGAGAAACATGTCACCAAGCTGATACACTGGAAGCAGAAAGAGTGCTAACAGATTACTCTGAGTAACCTGGACCCTCATCAGATGGCAGCTCTCAAACTCAGAGTTTGTTGGTGTCCCCTCCCCAAAAATGATGCAGAGAACCTCCCTTAATTACTCTAAATTTTTCTATGAAATATAATGAGTCTTGCTGTCCACACCATTATATGGCTGTGCTACCAACCTCCTTATCCCTTCCACCACCCTCCTTATCCTTTCCTCTGCTTCTGCCTTTGGCACTCCTGAGATTCTTCTTGAAAAGTATCCCCTATTCTACAAAACATTCCACTTTTAATGGTTCATGTAGCACTTTAACCACTCCAGGATACGGGTAATTGTAGGCAAGAGAAACAATGTGCTGTGGGGTGCAGGTGTGGCCTGAATGGCTCTGTACTAGCTCACTGTACAGCCTGACAATGCAGTTGCAATTTGTAACATGATGGTTCATTACCAGTCCATGAGGCACAGCCTCTGTGAGCCCTACTGTGTGTGGCAAAGCTCTCCTTGACATCAGGACCTGAATAGAAATCTCTGTCGAGGCATAGAACTCACATTAAAAAAAATCAAAGTCAATTAAGCACATTGTTGGATAAAATGAGACCCAACAGCCCATAATAGGCTGCTGTGCTGGAGGAGAGCCCTGCCACTGCCTGGCTCCCAGCTGCCTGCTCTGCCATTCTTCTTACTCATCCCTGTGGAACAGATCCACTACTGGGCTTGTTTGTGGCTAATGTGTGTGTGACAGCCACCCTGAGAGCCACCAACGGAGAAACAGGAGCTGCTGCACCTCAGCTAAAGAGGCAGGCTCTGGCTGAAACAAGCTGCTCCTGCTGGAGA